TTTTTTTTTTTTTTTTAATCTCGAAGGTCAACTTTGACAGTGTCCCACATGATGTATCATCTTTCCGAACCACGTAGATATGTGTATCTACTGAAGAGTTTCTGTTTTAAAAATAAATATCTCTAATATATTTTTTGCTTCTGGTGCGTCCTGCTTCCTCTTCAAGGCCGCAACCCCCCCCCCCTTCCAAAAAAAAAAGATTTAAAAAATCCCCTTGTTTTATATTAATAGTACAAGGTGAAAGAAGGCTGTCCGAAATCCAGTAAATAGGTTGATCAGTTCTCACCTATAGATAGAGCGTTTAGTCACCTGAGGTTAAATAATTTACTATCATATTAAGATCTCATGCCAATTTAAGTCCAATGTTTCCCTCTCTGAAAGCATCAGACAACATGGTGGAGAACATGATACTGAAAAGCTTTTTTTTTTTGGCAAAGACGCAACCTTGTTTAACGCTATTTGTCACAAGGAATGGTTGAACCATCTCTCAATTTTCTCGGACCCTGGCCTTTATGCCATCGTGGAATTGCCGCCCCATTAAAATGAACTTTTTGGGGCACCCCTATGTTCCTCTAATCTACCAGAGACCTTCTCTGCTGACAGTGTCGAAAGCGTTGGTCAGGTCTTCATACACGGAGAAGACGTCAACATTTTGGTCCTAGCATTTTTGACTGCAGCTGCCTGGTCGCGAACACCATGTCGATGGTTCCACGCTCTTTGTGAAAACCGCATTGGCTTTCTGGCAGTTAGACCCTTCTCAAGCTGCCAGTTGAGACGCCTTAAGAGGATTCTAGCGAGTGTCTTGTCTGCACTAGAGAGCAAAGGTATACCACGGTAGTTGTCACAGGATTGACGGTGGCTTTTAAGTTTGTGCAAGTGGATAATGGACGCGTCCTTAAACTCCCGTGGTGTCGTCTCGTGCTGCCACACAGCTGGTGAAGCCTGACAGTACAGTCAGAGCTGTGCCCACCTTCCTTAGACATTTCAGCTATCATACACAAAAATGCAAGAACATTTCTTTTTTATTTCAAATTTAAATGAATATGGTTGACGAACGGATTACACAAAATTGATGAAAACGAAGAGGTGCCAAAAAGCCCCATGAGAGGAGAGCAGTGTCTCTGTGTAAAGACATTTCTACCTAAAACACTCCTGCCTGACACTGACCTATTCCTTGTCGGCCTTCCAAGGGGTCGTGACCCACAGTGTGGGAATCCGTAAACGTATAGAGTTCCTATCGAAATTGCCTCATTGTTTCCAGGAGACGGATGGATGGATGCCAAATAATAGCGACCTAACTCGGTAAGGAACATTTGTGGAAATAACACAGGAACTAGGTTAGCAGATACTGAATTTTAAATACACTTCACACTTATGACGGATCCAATTGAGCAAAATATTTTTAACGTCTAAAATAATTTACATAAAAGTCAAAACGTCGTGTTAAATAGTAAGGATTTATTGAAACATATTTATCACAGATTGGCAAAGAAATAAGGAAAAGATCGAAGTGTTTTTTTTTAAAAAGCATGGAAATTGGAAATTTGTGTTAAAATTTATAAATATATTTTTTAAAGATGACTAAAAGTGCAATTCATATGATACTAGTAACACGAATAATAAAAGGGAGAAAAAGTGTAGCGAATGTGTAAATATTGAGTTTCTGTTAACACAGATGGCACGTTACACAAACCAATAAATAACAGAACTAAACGGTTCATTGAAACAATAATTCAAGAAAATTGATATTTACAACAACGAGACGATCTTTGGGTGGGGGGTGGGGGGGGGGGGGTGGGGGGGGGTGGAAATAGTTGTTCAAACATTTTAAAGGGAGTCATAGTGTGTATCCTGAACGGGTCAATTTCTTCACATGTGTTTTAATTTTTGTTTTACCTCAACACTTCCAAAAACATCAAGATAAAACATGTTCTTCAAATAAATATATAATTCACTAAGCTGTCAAAGAAACCTAGCAAAGAACTATAGAGAAAGATCTGAGAGAGGGAACCCTGACCAGTCAGCTACCGCCAACAGAAGTAGTCAATAGAGACAAGTGAAATGCCTTAGAATGTGTCTCAAGCATCAGTTGGTCCACGAGGACAAAAACAATGAATCTTCCAACAGCATTTTTTTATACGCGGGACTATAGTGAATTAATCTTCTTGCCTTCTTTAGATGTTTATGATTAACATTTACTTTTTTTTTATCTACAGCTTGGAAAGCATTGTGAATTGGTTGATAAATGGATGATACCAACTACTGCGTCTAGCAAACAGATTAGCTACCATCTACTGCTTCTAGCAAACAGATTAGCTACCTTCAGATGATTCCGTTTTCAGAATATGTATAAAATATTATTCAGAAAACAATCTCTTTACTTTCAATTTAAGAGTGAATCTATGCACAATACACTGTGAATTCATAGCGTCATAGAAGTTGGACAAATGACGGACGGAATCAATAATTCAATCAATAATAATATTGGTTTTCCTCCCTTTGAAGACCATGCCGGTCTAAAGTTGTAGCTTTTTATGACCAGCTTAACATATCCAAGTATAATTTGTGTCAATAGAGTTATGGGAAACGAATAGAACGCGTCATTTTGTAGATTCGTTTTTTTTTTAGAGTCCTTTTACGAATAACGATATGTCAAATGCTTTAATTCCAGATCGACGCATTTGCTGCTTAAGGTAGTCTCAAATGATGGTTTATAGAGCAGCTGAGTTCGAATTGAAATTACTGCCGAAATAAACACATAATGCCCTAAAGGAAGAGATTAAAGTTAGGCATGTTTTGTCAATTAGCAAAATTCAAATCTATTAAAAATACAATGAGAAATGAGTTGTGTGATCGTGTTCAAGTTTTTTTTTTTTAGAAATCACGATACGCACAATGTGTACATTGTAACAAAAAAAAAGCTTTTGGGGAGGATTTTAACCAAATTTACATTTAATAAACACATTTTAAAAAACATAAAATCATTTTAAAAAAAAAAATAGATGAATATTTTCAAACGTGTTCAAAAATTTTTAAATGTGCTCAATATTTGCATGTGTGCGAATCCCGGTGCTCTACTGTCTTTATCCCGAAACCATTGTCTCTACCAAGCCAGATGTTTGTAATATCTTTATCCTGAGACAGTCTCTACCAAGCCAGATGTTTGTAATATCTTCATCCCGAGACAGTCTCTACCAAGCCAGATGTTTGTAATGTCTTTATCCTAAGACAGTCTCTACCAAGCCAGATGTTTGTAATGTCTTTATCCTGAGACAGTCTCTACCAAGCCAGATGTTTGTAATATCTTCATCCCGAGACACTCTACCAAGCCAGATGTTTGTAATATATTTATCCTGAGGCAGCCTCTACCAAGCCAGATGTTTGTAATATCTTCACCCCGAGACAGTCTCTACCAAGTAGGATGTCTCTAATGTCTTTATCCTGAGACAGTCTCAACCAACCAGATGTATCTAATGTCTTTATCCTGAGACAGTCTCTACCAAGCCAGATGTTTGTAATATCTTCATCCCGAGACAGTCTCTACCTAGCCAGATGTTTGTAATATCTTCATCCCGAGACCAACTCTACCAAACCAGATGTTTGTAATATCTTCATCCCGAGACAGTCTCTACCAAGCCAGATGTTTGTAATCTCTTTATCCTGAGACAGTCTCTACCAAGCCAGACGTTTGTAATATCTTCATCCCGAGACCATCTCTACCAAGCCAGATGTTTGTAATATCTTCATCCCGAGACAGTCTCTACCAAGCCAAATGTTTGTAATATCTTTATCCCGAGACCATCTCTACCAAACCAGATGTTTGTAATATCTTCATCCCGAGACCATCTCTACCAAGCCAGATGTTTGTAATATCTTTATCCTGAGACAGTCTCTACCTAGCCAGATGTTTGTAATATCTTCATCCCGAGACCATCTCTACCAAACCAGATGTTTGTAATATCTTCATCCCGAGACCATCTCTACCAAACCAGATGTTTGTAATATCTTTATCCTGAGACAGTCTCTACCTAGCCAGATGTTTTTAATATCTTCATCCCGAGACCATCTCTACCAAACCAGATGTTTGTAATATCTTCATCCCGAGACCATCTCTACCAAGCCAGATGTTTGTAATATCTTTATCCTGAGACAGTCTCTACCTAGCCAGATGTTTGTAATATCTTCATCCCGAGACCATCTCTACCAAGCCAGATGTTTGTAATATCTTTATCCTGAGACAGTCTCTACCTAGCCAGATATTTGTAATATCTTTATCCTGAGATAGTCTCTACCTAGCAGATGTTTGTAATATCTTCATCCCGAGACCATCTCTACCAAACCAGATGTTTGTAATATCTTCATCCCGAGACAGTCTCTACCAAGCCAGATGTTTGTAATATCTTTATCCTGAGACAGTCTCTACCTAGCCAGATGTTTGTAATATCTTCATCCCGAGACCATCTCTACCAAGCCAGATGTTTGTAATATCTTTATCCTGAGACAGTCTCTACCTAGCCAGATATTTGTAATATCTTTATCCTGAGACCATCTCTACCAAACCAGATTTTTGTAATATCTTCATCCCGAGACCATCTCTACCAAGCCAGATGTTTGTAATATCTTCATCACGAGACCATCTCTACCAAACCAGATGTTTGTAATATCTTCATCCCGAGACAGTCTCTACCAAGCCAGATGTTTGTAATATCTTTATCCTGAGACAGTCTCTACCTAGCCAGATGTTTGTAATATCTTCATCCCGAGACCATCTCTACCAAACCGGATGTTTGTAATATCTTCATCCCGAGACCATCTCTACCAAGCCAGATGTTTGTAATATCTTCATCCCGAGACCATCTCTACCAAACCAGGCGTTTGTCATATCTTCATCCCGAGACCATCTCTACCAAACCAGATGGTTGTAATATCTTCATCCCGAGACCATCTCTACCAAGCCAGATGCTTGTAATGTCTTTATCCTGAGACAGTCTCTACCAAGCCAGATGTTTGTAATATCTTCATCCTGAGAAGTCTCTACCAAGCCAGATGTTTGTAATATATTCATCCCGAGACAGTCTCTACCAAGCCAGATGTTTGTAATGTCTTTATTCCGAGACAGTCATTACCAATCAAGATGTCTCTAATGTCTTTATCCCAAGCCAGATGTCTATAATGGCGATACTAAGAAGGAGGCTCCTCCTATATTTAGTACACAAAATTAAATTCTGTTAACGCATTCCTAACTGCGTCTATATCTTGGACATCTGTTGGATGCAGTGGCGTGCATTGGCTTATTGCCACCCGGGGCGGGACAGGGTTTTTGCCACCCCCGTTTTTACGAAAAAAGCATCTGTTAGTCAAAAATGCTACCCCTCTAAATAAAAAATGTGACGGGGCGGTTCGCCCCTTCACTACATCACTGGATGGTTGGCGTGGTGGCGTGGTGGTGGTGGTGTGGTGGCGTGGTGGTGGTGGTGGTGGCAAAATCGTCTGTAAGGGTTCAGGGATGCTACAACTGCTGTGCACAAATCTAAGATAAGTCAGATACAAGGATAGCCATATGTAGATCAAAGTTCTCGTCCAACTACATTAACATACGCATGAGATGTCTGGTAAGCCAAACATACCGGCATTATCAACGCTGCATTTTGCCTAATTTAATTAAAACCAGGCCTAACACGTTTTATACATCTAAAATTTAAGAAGAAAAAACAACTTTGTAAACATGTCGGGGTACAAATAAACTAAATATAAGATTCATGAAAAAAAAAAATTATTGAACAATATTTGAAAATCCAGCAGTAAATGTCCGTCAAGTAAAAAACACGGTATCAAGTCTCAACCAGCATTTCAAACATTCTGCTCTCAGTCGTTAGCTCCCAGTGCGTCTCTCGTTCAATGGCATCAGTCGTCCGCGTCCTTCTCTAGGATGCCCAGCTTCTGGCCGATCCAGCGCGCCTTGGCGAGGATCTCCTCCTGCATGAGAGAGAAGCACATCGACAGGATCGCCATACCGAACAGCACGTACACACTGCCGAGCAGCAGCTGCGCCTGGGCCTGCGGGTTCTCGAAGTCCGTTCCCGGCACCACGTCCCCGAACCCGATCGTGCTGAGGGTGATGAAACAGAAGTAGGCGGACTGCAGCCAGTCCCAGCCCTCCCACAGGCCGAAGAGGACGGCGCCGCCGAAGATGTAGCCGCCGATCACGATCATGGTGATGGTCAACGGGACGGTGATCTTCTTCTCGTCCAGGTCATCGTCGTCATCGCTGTCGCTGTCGTCGTCAAGGATGACTGGGTCGTTCTTCTTGAGGTCAAGGGGAGCGATCTTGACCTGGAACCGGAAATAAAAAACACATTTACAATTGAAAAATATATATATATAAATATGAAATGACAACATCAAAGGAAAAATATGACAGCTTCATTCTATTTTCTCTATCACTGAAGTTTCATGAATTATGAATACAAATTAAGTTGGCAGTAATATCAGGTTTAAACCAAACAATTTTTACCTGAAGTTTAGATATTTTTTTTTTATGTTGTTGTAAGTTTTTGTTTCTAGTGTTGCAATTGTAACGATATCTTTAAAAAAGTTTGATTCCAGAGTATAAAGAATATTTATTTTCTAGGATGCATTTTATATATTAAATTATTTCAAGCGAAAGATTGGAAAGTATTTAAAAGAACACATTAAATTTTAAGGGGACAACACAGTCATGTGATCATTAGAATCTAAATGTTTGATGTTGTAGTAAAATATTGGCAATAAGTAGGGGGGTGGGTGGTTGAGGGGGGGGGGGACACTGAAATCAGGTTAGGTACAAATAATTTTTTTTGTTGTTGTTGCCTCCTTTTTCCAGGTTTTCCCGTACTTTGTTTCGTTCATTTCTTAAATATTGGATTAGGCTTTTTGGTGTTATGCAAAGTTTGTTATAATATGAATGAAATTATAATTCCGTGTGCTACCAATCATGCCACAATCACTTCGAAATAACATTCAAATTAACCGCCGCGAACTGCTGGAGTTTATATTGTTTACCTGCCGTACACTGGTTTGCTAGTCAATTGAACCAGTCGTACACTGGTTTGCTAGTCAATTGAACCAGTCGTACACTGGTTTGCTAGTCAATTGATCCAGTCGTACACTGGTTTGCTAATCAATTGATCCAGTCGTACACTGGTTTGCTAGTCAATTGAACCAGTCGTACACTGGTTTGCTATTCAATAGATACACTGGTTTGCTAGTCAATTGAATCAGTCGTACACTGGTTTCCTAGGCAATTGATCCAGCTGTACACTGGTTTGCTAGTCCATTGAACTAGCCGTACACTGGTTTGCTAATCAACTCAAACCTTCTATTACAGATCAGTGTAACCCTTCGTCACTGATGTGTTCATTTTTAAAAATCTGGATGCCGTAAGACATTTATATTATAAAGATGTAAAATGTCCAATAATATCGCAGTCAGAAATCAGAACCTTCTACTCAAGTACAACGACTCACTTTGCTCCGACCCGGGCTCACATTCCTTGAACTACTTCTGGAGCTCGGCCTCAGCTTTTTGGTGTCGCTTGCATCCAAACTGTCTGTAGGTGACCTTGTTGGCAGACGCGAGAAATCCACAGAGAGAGGGTCTTGAGTACCTATGATTTATTTATATATATATATATATTTTTTTAACGGAGAGAATCTAATTGTTGAAACATGTTTATGTGTTCTGAGGTAAAATATTTTTCACTTTTTTTAAAAAATACTTTATCTTAACTTCGCTGCTGTTTAAGACAAAATCTTAGGGACGGCCAATTGACCCACTTCCCGTAACCCCATACAGTTGAAACTTGGTAGACAGACGCGTTGCAGACGCCAATACATTCTCTGAACCCTTCATCCTCACTTCCCGCTCCCAACTCTAGAAATCCGTGGCAACACTACCAGATGTCACTGATTGCAGGACTAGATATTCCCGAAAACCGCGCTAAATGAGATTCTGGAAAATATCGCAAATGCGTTTGGTGGGAAATATTTCCTTTTGTTTGATAGATTTAATAGTTGGTGTAATAATCTGCATTGTAAAAGTGGGTGTGAAATTAATTAGAATATAAATATAGTTCAGGGGCGTGAAAGAAATATGCGGTTGCTTGCCGGGGGGGGGGGGGAGAGGAGCATTAAATGGGATTCTCCCAAAGTGCGTTTCTTGAATGCAGGCTTTGTCAAATGTTCAGCCCCATCCCCCATCCCCCATTTCCTCAATATTTTATTTTTTAAAGGGTTTTTACGAAAAAATATAAATATAGTTCAGGGGCGTGAAAGAAATATGCGGTTGCTTGCCGGGGGGGGGGAGAGGAGCATTAAATGGGATTCTCACAAAGTGCGTTTCTTGAATGCATGCTTTGTCAAATGTTCAGCCCCATCCCCCATCCCCCATTTCCTCAATATTTTATTTTATAAAGGATTTTTACGAAAAACATTTTTAGGGCTTGTTTAATTGTAATCCTAGCTTCACTAAGCATTAAGTAAATAGACCTTATGGTTTAGTGGAGCTAGTATTTTTAAACTTTGTTGTGTTTTTTTTTCTCGCGTGGCTCCCCCAACCCGCGGTGTCTTTTTATGTGGCTCGCATGTTTGTGTTACAAACTGTTTATAAAATGCAAGGCGTAGCAATTCAATGACGTATACTGTTGTCGTGAAATAAACTTTATTTTCAATGAAGATAATTAATTCGAAAGTAAACAAGCTTTCCACGATAAGGGTCAACGTGACTTTACCGGTTAAAGCCTTTTTGTCGGAGCTGTCCCAGTGACCAGGGGTGTTGCTCTCAGAATGTGGCAAGTGTGCGACCTAAAAAAAAAATGGACATTGTAATGCATCGTGTCGATGAGGAATCAAAAAGTGGCTTTACATTTTGCTCAACCTCCTGTAGATGTTTTTACAACCCTTCAAGAGTGGCATTTTTTAGGATTATACTTTTCAATTTCAAACATTTGTAGAACAGCAATCATTGTGCCCAATAATTTCTTTGATAAAACTTTGATGAAATTCGAGAGAAAACATAAAATAATTCAACTCCTAAAGGTCGCTGACCTGGTTTTTGCTCCTCTTCTTCTTCTTGCAGCAACCGCAGCAGCAGATTCTGGCATAAATAAATCTGAATATATCGGCAAGGGCGTCGCCGAGGTTGGCGAGGCAGAGGAGCATCAGTGGAATGCCCAGTACGGCATAAGCAATACAGACAAGGCGTCCCCAGACTGTCTTTGGAGCAATATGTCCATACCCTGTGGACAGATAGCAGACAGTATGAAATCAAACATGCAGGGCACAGGCATCATACAACACGATCATAACCAGTGGGCAGACAGTTATAATGGAATCATACATAATGGACAGTCAGCAGACACTATGAGATCATCAACTGTGACAGATGTGAGACACAAGACAGACATTCTCAACAGTGACAGATGTGAGACAGAAGACATATATTTTCAACTGTGACAGATGTGAGACACAGACAGACATTCTCAACTGTGACAGATGTGAGACACTAGACATATATTCTCAACCGTGACAGATGTGCGACACAAGACAGACATTCTCAACTGTGACAGATGTGAGACACAAGACAGGCATTCTCAACTGTGACAGACATTCTCAACTGTAGCCAAACTAGATTAGCCAAGACTAGATGTAACCTCTGCATTTAAAGAGAAACACAACAGACAGAGAAGACGTAAAATAATTTGTCTTGAAAGACACAAACAGGTCCAATTCTTTCTCCTGTCCACAAGACACATACAACTTTAGTCTTTACTTAAATATCATAAAACCGATTACCTGAATGTTTTTCGCACAGAAGTTTGTTGAAATGAAACAATGAAGAAAAAACACGTGATCTGTGTCAGGAGGATGATTCTAGACTGTAGCTCATTTATACTCTGCTGTAGGTGATTTATTTTAGACTAGAAGCTGTTTACACTGGGCTGCATGCTATGTAAATAAGCTGTACGCTATTTATAGCAGGCAGTATGCTATTTATACTAGACTTTACGATAATTATACACCAGGCTTTATGTATCCAAACAAGACTGGACGCTATTTATTGCATGCTGTATGCTATTTATACTAGGGTATATATTTATACTTCACTATACTTATCATATTTATTTTTTGGCTGTATATGTTATATGCTAGTGCACCCGAGTCTTCGATTTTATAATTTCTCTAAGGAACATACGATGAGGGCACATTTGACAAGGGCAAATATGACAAGGGCACATATGACAAGGGCTAATATAACATGCGCACATATGACAAGGGTACATATGACAAGGGGTCATAAGACAGGGCACACATGACAAGGGCACATATGACAAGGGGTCATAAGACAGGGCACATATGACAAGTGCACATATGAGAGGTGCACATATGACAAGGGCACATATGACAAGGGGTCATAAGACAAGGGCACATATGACAAGGGCACATATGACAAGGGCACATATGACAAGGGCACATATGACAAATCGATGCGAAAGAATAATAATTATTGATCGCTCTGTCCAAATAAACCGACTGCAGATAGTCAAGCAAACAGGCGATCTAGTGGTGATACAATGATGGGATTGGCTCAGGGGTGAAGAATGGGATGATTGCCCAGTGCTTGGTTCCTTATGGTAGATACTACTTAGAGGCTGAGATGGTGTATATGTGTGTTTCTCTGGGGTGTGTAGACTTAGATATGTGTTTCTCTGGGGTGTGTGGGTCGAGACATGTGCTTCTCTGGTGTGTGTGGGGTGAGATATGAGGGTAAATATTTCACATAGGCGAATGGCATTTAATTTTTTTCTGGCCCTTCAACAAAGCATCATCATTTTAATCAGGAGTGTCCCGTCTCTTAGCTTCACTGTGCCACTTCGGAAGATGTGCCACATCACACATAAAATACACCAACAGTCATGATAGCTGATGAACAGAAAAACGTAGAATATTTTATACGGATAACATATTTTTAAAATATTTTAAATTTCATTAATACATGAATGAGTTTTTGTCTTACTATAAAAGTAAAAGACTAGGCAGCAACATGAAATAACTGAGATGTTTGACATTGTTTTGCAGTACGAATGCTTTGACATTGTTTTGCAGTACGAATGCTTTGACATTTGGTTTGACGGAAGTAGTTGCTATTCTCAGTGAATTCTCTTAAAAACTTCCCCTCGAGCAACCTTCCGTTCCTACCATATTCCTTCGAAAAATTGGTTTCGTCCTAACTTCCAGGTATTTACTCTGCTCCGAACTGAGCCTTCTTGTCACCGTCGAGCATGGCTGGCTGCTGCGTCGAGCTTGGCTGGGTGCTGAGTCGAGCATGGCTGGCTGCTACGTCGAGCATGGCTGGCTGCGACATCGAGCATGGCTGGCTGCTACGTCGAGCATGGCTGGCTGCTACATCGAGCATGGCTGGATGCTACAATGGAATGCTCCAAGCAGTGTTTTTTTAAAACTTTTCTATTCTCGGTGCTCATGATGAATCCAGGTTGTTTTTTTCCAAGACAACCTTTGTCAGCTTTATATGTTTGCACTAAGTCTGCTAGATTTCGCGTCATACTCCACTTAAAAGAACACGGGAAATGAAAATATTTCAATGCACCCTTGTTCTCATTTGACCCGCGACGTACACTCAAGGAGCCACTGGCTTAAAGCCATTCACCACCATAAGACATGAGAGCTTAATTCCATCCGTCCCACCCCACCACTCCGATGTCATCACGTGTCTTTTCCGGCTTTTGTTTCTATACATTTCATTTCCACGCATCAACTGGTTGCAAGCTGTCGCCCTAGCAATGGAAGTAAACAATGTACTAGCTGTAATCAAGTCTAGAGCTGACCAAGGTAAACAATGCACTGCCCGTAAGACCGGATCTGTACAAGCTAGGTAAATAATGTACTGGCTGTAAGACCGGATATGTCCAAGCTAGGTAAATAATGTACTGGCTGTAAGACCGGATCTGTCCAAGCTAGGTAAACAATGCACTGGCTGTAAGACCGGATCTGTACAAGCTAGGTAAATAATGTACTGGCTGTAAGACCAGATCTGTACAAGCTAGGTAAATAAAGTACTGGCTGTAAGACCGGATCTGTCCAAGCTAGGTAAATAATGCACTGGCTGTAAGACCGGATCTGTACAAGCTAGGTAAATAATGTACTAGCTGTAAGACCGGATCTGTACAAGCTAGGTAAATAATGTACTGGATGTAAGACCGGATCTGTACAAGCTAGGTAAATAATGTACTGGCTGTAAGACCGGATCTGTACAAGCTAGGTAAATAATGTACTGGCTGTAAGACCGGATCTGTCCAAGCTAGGTAAACAATGCACTGGCTGTAAGACCGGATCTGTACAAGCTAGGTAAATAATGTACTGGCTGTAAGACCGGATCTGTACAAGCTAGGTAAATAATGTACTGCCCGTAAGACCGGATCTGTACAAGCTAGGTAAATAATGTACTGGCTGTAAGACCGGATATGTCCAAGCTAGGTAAATAATGTACTGGCTGTAAGACCGGATATGTCCAAGCTAGGTAAACAATGCACTGCCCGTAAGACCGGATCTGTACAAGCTAGGTAAATAATGTACTGGCTGTAAGACCGGATATGTCCAAGCTAGGTAAATAATGTACTGGCTGTAAGACCGGATCTGTCCAAGCTAGGTAAATAATGTACTGGCTGTAAGACCGGATCTGTCCAAGCTAGGTAAACAATGCACTGGCTGTAAGACCGGATCTGTACAAGCTAGGTAAATAATGTACTGGCTGTAAGACCGGATCTGTACAAGCTAGGTAAATAATGTACTGGCTGTAAGACCGGATCTGTACAAGCTAGGTAAATAATGTACTGGCTGTAAGACCGGATCTGTACAAGCTAGGTAAATAAAGTACTGGCTGTAAGACCGGATCTGTCCAAGCTAGGTAAATAATGCACTGGCTGTAAGACCGGATCTGTACAAGCTAGGTAAATAAAGTACTCGCTGTAAGACCGGATCTGTCCACGCTAGGTAAATAATGCACTGGCTGTAAGACCCGATATATGTCGCCTTCATCATTGTAAGGTACACAAAAGTTAAATGACTTCGTCATTATCGTTTTTCTGTATCTCCCTCCACTTCTTTTCTCTCTCCAGTCTCTCTCTCTCTCAGGTCTCTCTCTCTCTCCCCCTTTCTCCCACTCCTAGTTATTGCACGTTGGTTCATAGCTATTTCGAGTATGGATGTCGTTTCGAACAGTTTTTTCCGACAGTAATCAATCCACCACCCCTATTATTGTCTATTCAAGATTACGTGTTACTTATGGATATATAATCCTACTTAGAAAAAAAAAAGTTTTCATAGCATCCACTGGAGACAGTGTAACTAAGGCAGAATTATCTCAGTTATAACAATTCGAAAGTTCCTTCAGATAGCTTCAAGGCAGTCCCTCATATATTATCCTTGGTCTCTTTATACAGTGTTCCCACCCAACATCATTCACACGAGGTAGTGTAACTATGGAAATATACATGTATTTTCCAAACAACAGGATTCCTGACATCACACACAACATCATCCACGGGAGGGAGTGTAAAAATGCAAATATAGATGTATTTTTTCTCAAAAGCAGGGTTCCTGACATCACACATACAAGTGTGCTCTTAGGGTTCCTGACCTTCCACATACAAGTTAGCTCTTAAATGCAACTAATTTGTCTAGTCATTTAATAAATGGTTGTGCCCTTTATTTATAGTTACAACGCTTAACCTCTGACCCGGTCAGTTTACTCTGCTACTGTTTTGTGCAGCCCTTGGTGCGGCTTATGATCCTATCGATCAGGGACGTTACTGAGAAATAAGACTCAGAGCTGACCAGATAGGAAACTTCGATAAATCTTAAGTCAGCTACTGAAAGCTTTACAATGTCTAGCATGGGGGGCTCCCGGCGTGTCTGTTGTCGTAACCACCTCTGATAAGAAATGTTCTTTAATATTTTTTGGCACCGAAATGGATTGTCCTGGTTCTAAAAAGTACCAAGTCCTGTCTGAGCAGGTCATGTGACACTCCATGACCACTCTCCTTTCTTCTTAAAATAGCATGTCATCTTTATATGAGTCTGTCTGAGAAGTCTGCAGTTCTTGATGTAGAATATAATAAAACGTTCCATCGATTACTGTCAAACCAAAGTCTTCTTTTATAATCTCCACTATTATTATGACGTGGTATCGCCATCGAACCGTTAAGAATCGAATGTATTGAGATATCGATTCTTGTAGCGTTCCTTGCAAGGCTGGCAGTTTAGATTGCGTCGTCTTTGTCTCAGACTTTGAATAGAGCCCAGGGGAAGCCACTCTCGGTCATTTTGTGCACATGTTCATGAACTCTTTCAGCACAGTCGTAGAGATGTGTCATTGAAACATGTCATGATTAGAGATGTGTCATTGAAACATGTCATGGCTGTTTCTAAATGACACCAAATATCAGCTCCATTTTTTGAAGTGTGGGGGTGGGGAGAGGGAAAAAAGGGGGGTGGGGGTGGGCGGCCTTTTAACATATAAAACATTCGCTATTGAAATTCGTTTTTAATTAACAAAAAATAATTGCTTGACATCCACAACATATGTTTATTCGTGGATAACTTCAACTCCATCCAAGTCATTTTACCCACAATCCCAAAGTCTTGAAAAGCTATTAGACCCGTTAGTAAATATAAGCTTTCACCTTTTGTCAGCCCTACTGACACACTTCAAAACAGCTATTTTAAGGGGGGGGGGGGTGGGGGTGACATCAAGAAGTGGACATAGTAACATCAATGAAAGCGGCATAACAACATCCAAGAAAGGGACATAATAGCATCCAAGCAAGGGATATATTAACATTCAAGAGAAGGGCATAACAACATCCAAGAAAGGGACATAATATTTTTTAATGTTTTTGTTGATACAGTAATGCCGCTGTTTTAAATAAAGAACCAGAACCCAAAATAAGGGACCAGAACCAAAAATACACAAATACATTTGGCCAGAACCCAAAATAAACGATTATTGTTTACATTCACTTATGAAACCAGTCACGAATTTTGACATGTTTATATCATTACAACGAAGTATAACGCAATGAAAATTTCAAGTATTTGAATAAGAGCCCAGTTGACAATCCATATACATGTACAAAATGCAAGATGCGTTAAATATTGTCTGAACTTTGCTTAAGAGAAAAAGGCAACATTTAGTTCATCAGTTTCATCATACCAGGAGACATAACATATTTGTAGGCGACCTAGATGCGTGCACTATTTTTAAGTAAGGACCTCAAACGGTATGATCCTTTGCATACAGCTCTGTTTTCCTTCTGCTGGTGATCGATACATAAATTCATTGATTGATTTTTATTTTTAAATGCTCACTGAATTTTTCTGTAACGATCGAGGCGAATGTGAGTAGTAACGTCATCAAGTAATCGACCAACGCAACCGCGAGAGGCATCTTACCCAGCCAGGTATACCTTGCCAGGTAAGCGTGACGGGAAAGGCCTAGAGCGTAATTGTTCGCAGTGGACAGCTTCCAAAAAAAAAAAAAAAAGTGAATATTTGTTCTTTTTCTATTGCCTCGAGACTAATTGTAAAGGTTAACCAAAGAAGTTGTGTGTTTTAAAACAAGCAAAAAATTCGAAACAGACAATAAGCGTTGAGTTTTTAATTGGGTAGTTTCGATTTGGCTGTCGTGGTTACCAATGATGAAGCATTTGAATTACTTTGCTAATGTAATTAAACTATAAATTGACCTAGCAGAAAAATAAATGAAAATCTAACTAGTGTTCAAACAGGCGCAGTAATTTTTCATTAACCAACCTCGAACAAATTATATGTTAGCGGTTATTATTGTATGGAGCATTTGGTTGTCCGGTAATCTAGTTTAATGTTTAAAATATTATTTTTTGCATCTCATACCAAAATTGTTTGGTCATATTTTTCAATATACAGAAAACTGAATCAACCGTTACTTCTCTGTGAATAAAAGCAAACACTTAGAAATATACTTATATAAGAAAATGTTTCTTTTTAAAGTATAAAAATATTATTATCATTTTTTTTTAAATTTGAAATATGATCTAACTGCTCATAGCTATACACTGATATCGTTTACCATCCATAAATATAACTCTTAGTGATAAGGACGGTAAATCTATATAGTATAGTTCTATTTATACCCCCTAGGAAAGGACGACTAATTGTTAGATGAATGTAGATGTGACATCGCTTTTAGATTGCCAAGCGGTTTCTTTTTCTATAAAAAAAAACATTGAGAATGCAGTTATCACTAATGTATCATAGCAACCAAAACTCAACTTATGGCTCAAATAGCTGTCACATGCTATGGTAATGTATGGCTGAAATAGCTGCTACACACTATGACAACTTAAAGCTATCACACGCTGCGACAACTTAAGGCTGAAATAGCTGTCACACGCTATGACAACTTAAGGCTGAAATAGCTGTCACATGCTATGACAACTTAAGGCTGAAATAGCTGTCACACGCTATGAAAATTAAGGCTGAAATAGCTGTCACACGCTAGACAACTTAAGGCTGAAATAGCTATGCACGGCCTGCAGTTGAACATGATTTGACACGATAAAGATAACTCTTAAATTAAGAACGATCAAAACTTTTTTTTTTCAATGCGATTTGACAGTTTTCTTGAACATATCGACTGATCATTGGATTGTAAACTTGGGTTGTATCGATTAGTCCATTGTGTAGCATTACGCGGGATAAACAGAGCTGGGAGGATTGCAGCTCTATGGAAACAGGGTTAATGACGTTATGGAGGCCGTAAGTAGGTTGCCAGATAAGACTTCTCTGGCACTAAGAGGAAGATGGGAGAAGGATGCCACCAACAAGAAAACCCTTTTTTTTTCAAAAATATTATATATTCTAACAAATGAAAGATTTAATAAAATTATGATGACTGATGAGTGGAACACGAAACATGAGTAAGGGTTGAAAGAATGAGCGGACATGGAATATTAATCGGACATGAGAGATGAACGATATGAAAGATAAGTGGGGACATGAAAGATGAAAGGACATGAGAGATGAGTGGACATGAAAGGTGATAAAATGAAACGACAGTGTCCCAGCCATAGATCAATAGATCTTATTATGTTGTAAAATATGTATGAATAAATAAGTATCCACTACAAAATTATTATTTTCGTTTATGATATGTCTCAGAGTTCAAATTAAGTAACAAAAGTAAAGGTAAATTTAAAAAGATTTGTAGGTCTCAAAATAGGTAACAGGAGCAATAAACAGTTTCCGGTGGAGACCCCCGGACCCCTCTTTAGCCGGAGGGTATCCCCCCCCCCAAAACCCTCCTTGGGTGTGTCCCGTTTTTTTTCCAGTTCATGATTTGGTCACCCTATTGTAGGGGGGGGGGTGTAATAAATATAGATCAGGTAAAAAAATGTAGGGGATCATGTAATAAATTATAAACCATCAAATGAAATGTAGCGTATGTTATAAACAGAGAACTCGTAATGAAATATATGGGATGTAATAAATAGAGATTAGGTTAAAAAAAATTAAAGGGGGGGGGTGTATTAAATATACATCAGGTAATGAAATGTATGGAAATGGAATGCCCTAAGACTGACCTTCTTAAATGGAATGCCCTAAGACTGACCACCTAAAATGGAATACCATAAGACTGACCACCTAAATTAGAATGCCCTAAGACTGACCACCTGAAATGGTATGCCTTAAGACTGACCACCTAAAATGGAATGTCCTAAGACTGACCACCTGATCCATGATTACAATGACTCACCTATGGTTGAGATGACAGTCACAGAGAACAAGACAGCCCCTGCCCACGACCACTCATAGACGGGACCATTGGGCTGACCGTACAGCTGACACCAACTGCCGTCATAGCCAATGGCTAGCGTGTTGTTTCTGAAGGTCTCCAGGACACTCTGGAGTTGTACATACATGAGCTCCCTGAACAGGAAGTTATTGATGTTAATAAAAGTTGATATGGTAAATTGAATGGTAGCACAGACAGCTATTGATGAAGTTAAAAGTTGATGTGGTAAATTGAATGATATGACAGACAGAAATTGATGACGTTAAAAGTTGATACGGTAAATTGAATGTTAGGAAAGACAGCTAGTGATGAAGCTAAAAGTTGACATGATAAATTGAATGGTGGGATATAGAGTTATTGATCAAGTAAAAATCATATAAAACCATTGCAATTTTCATGTCAACCATTTATGATCTCTTTGGTCTATAGATGAACCGTCAGTTGTCTCTGCTTTAAGTATTGAGATTTTTTTTAAAAAAATTGGAGATAGCTGCACATTCCTCTATGATTGTTTTTCATTTGTTTCACGTGACCCTATAGATGTGTCCATGACAAACAGATGTTTAGATTATTAAGTTTATCAGTATACAAAACACGTTCACTACAAAACAATATATCCCTCTTTTTTCTTTCTTATGCAGTAGATGAATTGCTAGTTACCTGCTTGTCTCGGTGGTTATCGCCCCTCCATAATCGTAGAAGATCTTCAACGTTGAGTTGATGGTCTTCATTTCCATTGGCTCGTACTCTGACCTTGACTCGTAGCAGATCTGCTCCTCGTTGTTCTTCTCGAGGTGCTCGAAGATGAACCCTCCGGCCACACAGTAGAGGATGACCATGGCGCACAGCCCCACGTGTGAGAAGAGGAACTTCATGAACATTTTACAGCAGCTGTCTTTAGGGGGCTGGGTCCCCATCTTGATGCGTTCAGTTACAGCCTGCGGAATGTCGCAGAAACGGATAGAATATTTGCAAAACTTCATTCAACAACAGTCATTTGAATGCCCCCACCCCCACTCACCAACGTTTATTTTTCTCCCGACATAATAATATGATTATATTAACTGAATTGTGATTTCCGGGTCGCCGCATGGCAGACGACTGGATTCTGTCTGGACCATTGTCAGCTTATTTAGACAGTTGAACACGTTTTCTGTTGCTCTGTTTTCATTCAATTACTTGTGGATGTGTTCAACTAATGGTTGTGTTCAACACATGGATGTGTTCAACTGATTGATGTGTTCAACTAATGGAAGAGTTCAAGAAATGGATGTGTTAATCTAATGGAAGCGTTCAACTAATGGATGTGTTGATCTAATGAAAGCGTTCAACTAATGGATGTGTTCAACTAATGGATGTGTTAACGTGCTACTGGTTATTGGTTTTTTTTTTGTGTTTCTCGTCATAAAAAACCGGTGTTAAAATGGACTACGGGCATCCAAAGAAAAAAGTTCCTTTATGGCTGATCTCTACGCCATAGAAATACTTAAATTGTCTTAAAAGAATCTTATCTAGCTTATCTTATCGTTTCATTAAAAGAGGAAAAGGAAAAACATAAAGCAAATAATTTTAAAACCCTGAGAGGACAACAGTGAGACTGACATCAACGTTCCAATCTATGCCTACTATCACATTAACCGCTAATCGTGATGCTTCACTATTTCTCGCAGTATTTATTATACAAACTTTGAAATGTTTACTGTGAACCAAGGTTAATTTTCCTGCTATACAAACACCAAACTTTCAAATATCGACGATTTAATTAGGAGAAACATGCTTCGATCCGTTGGTTTTTTGAAGAGTTTTAAGACTTAAAAAATGAAAGAATAAGTTTTAAGAAATGTTATTTGTTATGAGACAGATAAGGAGTAGGCGCAATCACACAACTAAGACATTTCTGATAACAAACCTTTTTCACTAACAAACCTTTGTCACTAACAAACCTTTCTCACTAACAAACATTTGTCACTAACAAACCTTTGTCGCTAACAAACCTTTGTCGCTAACAAACCTTTGTCGCTAACAAACCTTTTTCGCTAACAAACCTTTGTCACTAACAAACCTTTGTCACTAAAAAACCTTTGCCACTAACAAACCTTGGTCACTAACAAACCTTTGTCACTAACAAACCTTTGTCACAAAAAAACCTTTGCCACCAAATAACCGTTTTCGCTAACAACCATTTGCTACAAAAAAAACAAAACTTTGTGACTAAAAATCCCTTGTTATTAACAAACCTTTGCCACTAAAAAAACCTCTGTTACTAAGAAACCTGTGCCGTTAACAAACATTTTGCCGCTAACACATCTTTGCCACTATTAAATCAATATTCAATTTTATTTCAAAAATAGCTTACCCCAAATTAACAGAACAACAGAGTCGGGCAAGACTCCAGATGTTCCCAGAGAAAAGCCTGCGCCACACGTCCAGCAAAGTGCCTGAGAATGTAGTGAGCTCAGTCACATGACAAAGTGGACTGAGCTGGCCTCGGCATAGACTCTTTCTCGTTGGTTGACAACCAGCGCAGGACGACTGCATCGATTTAGTGATTGATTCGCATAGTGTTGGCATCAAGCCTCTGCTCCCAGAACTGGTGAACGTCTAAACAATGCATTTCCGAGATCGACTGAAAAGGGAAATGTTTATCATTGGGGAAATTGTTTCTTATTTCATATTACGAAGGGAAAAAAAGCTTCTTTAACTTGGTTGTCTTTCTTTGAACGTATTATTGGACGTTTTTATACCAATGCTTGTTTAGCTTTAAATTAAAGTAAACATTTAAAAAAAATAAAAATAAACATTTGTACCAAAGAGAAAGTAAGAAAATTGGTCCCGACAAAAATCCCATTTATTCATTAAGCAAATGAAACATCTACTAATTATAATAGGTCCAGAATTCAGATAGTCTATATATTTTAGGATCTCATTAGAGTCATTCCAGATACCGATGTAGCTGGTAGTGTGACATTAGATGTAGTTGGTATTGTGACATTAGACGGAGTTGGTATTGTGACATTAGAAGGAGTTGGTATTGTGACATTTGATGTAGTTGGTATTGTGACATTAGGTGAAGTTGGTATTGTAACATTAGATGAAGTTGGTATTGTGACATTAGATGTAGTTGGCATTGTGACATTAGGTGAAGTTGGTATTGTAACATTAGATGAAGTTGGTATTGTGACATTAGATGTAGTTGGTATTGTGACATTAGAAGGAGTTGGTATTGTGACATTTGATGTAGTTGGTATTGTGACATTAGGTGAAGTTGGTATTGTAACATTAGATGAAGTTGGTATTGTGACATTAGATGTAGTTGGCATTGTGACATTAGGTGAAGTTGGTATTGTGACATTAGATGTAGTTGGTATTGTGACATTAGATGTAGTTGGCATTGTGACATTTGATGTAGTTGGTATTGTGACATTAGATGTAGTTGGCATTGTGACATTAAGTGAAGTTGGTATTGTGACATGAGATGTAGTTGGCATTGTGACATTAGGTGAAGTTGGTATTGTGACATTAGATGTAGTTGGCATTGTGACATTAGGTGTAGTCGGTATTGTGACATTAGATGTAGTTGGTGTCGTGACTTAAGATGTAATTGTTGTTGTGTCATGAGATGTAGTTGTTGTTGTGGCATAAGATGTAGTTGTTGTTGTGACATGAGATGTAGTTGCTGTTGTAACATGAGATGTAGTTGCTGTTGTGACATGAGATGTAGTTGGTGTTGTGACATGAGATGTAGTTGCTGTTGTGACATGAGATGTAGTTGCTGTTCTGACATGAGATGTAGTTGTTGTTGTGACATGAGATGTAGTTGCTGTTGTTAACTAAGATATAGTTGTTGTTGTGACATAAGATGTAGTTGTTGTGACATAAGATGTAGCTGTTGTGACATAAGATGTATCTGTTGTGACATAAGATGTAGCTGTTGTGACATAAGATGTAGCTGTTGTGACACAAGATGAAGCTGTTGTGACATTAGATGTAGCTGTTGTGACAATACATCCTATTGAGTTTTTCATCTCCCATTCGTTACTTCTGCGGCGCCAGCTAACTGCTGCTAGGTCTCAGTTGTTACCAGTTGCCCCATTTGCCCCCAGGTACCAATTGTTGTTGGTCGCTGGTGTCGTATGATGGATGATTGCCGATGATCGTTGTATCGATAGTTCATTCTTGGCGACACATTCTTGTAACACATTCATGTAACACATTCATGTAACACATTCATGTAACACATTCATGTAACACATTCTTGTAACACATTCATGTAACACATTCACGTAACATATTCATGTAACACATTCATGTAACTTATTCTTGTAACACATTCTTGTAACACATTCATGTAACACATATATGTAACACATTCATGTAACACATTCATGTAACACATTCTTGTAACACATGCATGTAACACATTCTTGTAACACATTCTTGTAACACATTCATGTAGCACATTCTTGTAACACATTCATGTAACACATTCTTGTAACACATTCTTGTAACATATTCTTGTAACACATTCATGTAACACATTCTTGTAACACATTCATGTAACACATTCATGTAACACATTCATGTAACACATTCATGTAACACATTCTTGTAACACATTCATGTAGCACATTCATGTAACACATTCATGTAACATATTAATGTAACACATTCATGTAACACATTCTTGTAACACATTCTTGTAACACATTCATGTAACACATTCTTGTAACACATTCAAGTAACACATTCATGTAACACATTCATGTATAACATTCTTGAAACACATTCATGTCACACATTCATGTAACAAATTCTTGTAACACATTCATGCAACACATTCATGTAACACATTCATGTAACACATTCATGTAACACATTCATGTGACACATTCATGTAACACATTTATGTAACACATGTATGTAACACTTTCTTTGTAACACATTCTTGTAACACATTCTTGTAACACATTCATGTAACACATTCATGTAACACATTCATGTAACACATTCATGTATAACATTCTTGAAACACATTCATGTAACACATTCATGAAACACATTCATGTAACACATTCATGTAACACATTCCTGTAACACATTCTTGTAACACATTCATGTAACACATTCATGTTACACATTTATGTAACACATTATTTGTAACACATTCTTGTAACACGTTCTTGTAACACATTCTTGTAACACATTCTTTGTAACAAATTATTGTGGGATCACAGCTGACTCTCATCCTTCCTAAGTTACAAAGACTCTCACTGAGGGCAAGGAAGTTTACTCTGAATGCTGACATAGGTTACTCTGACTGAGGGAATAGGTTACTCTGACTGAGGGAATAGGTTACTCTGACTGAGGGCAAAGAAGTTACTCTGAATGAGAGCAAAGAAGTTCGGTGACTGAGGGCACAGAAGTTACACTGACTGAGGCCAAAGAAGTTACTCTGATTTAGGGCAAAGAAGTTACTCTGACTTAGGGCAAAGAAGTTACTCTGACTTTAGGGCAAAGAAGTTACTCTGACTTAGGGCAAAGAAGTTACTCTGGCTGAGGGCAAAAAAATTACTCTGACTTAGGGCAAAGAAGTTACTCTGACTGAGGGCAAAGATGTTACACTGACTGAGGGCAAAGAAGTTACTCTGACTGAGGCCAAAGAAGTTACTCTGACTTAGGGCAAAGAAGTTACACTGACTGAGGGCAAAGAAGTTACTCTGACTGAGGGCAAAGAAGTTACACTGACTGAGGCCGAAGAAGTTACTCTGGCTGAGGGCAAAGAAGTTACAGTGACTGAGGGCAAAGGAAATACACAGAATGAGGGTAAAGAAGTTACACTGACTGAGGGCAAATAAGTTACTCTGACTGAGGGTAAAGAAGTTACACTCACTGAGGGCAAAGAAGTTACTCTGACTGAGGGTAAAGAAGTTACTCTTGCTGAGGGCAAAGAAGTTACAGTGACTGAGGGCAAAGGAAATACACAGCTTGAGGGTAAAGAAGTTACACTGACTGAGGGTAAAGAAGTTACTCTGACTGAGGGAAAAGAAGTTACTCTGATTGAGGGTAAATAAGTTACTCTGGCTGAGGGCAAAGAAGTTACAGTGACTAAGAGCAAAGGAAATACACAGAATGAGGGTAAAGAAGTTACACTGACTGAGGGTAAAGAAGTTACTCTATCTGAGGGCAAAGAAGTTACACTGACTGAGGCTAAAGAAGTTACACTGATATAGGACAAAGAAGTTACACTGATTGAGGGAAAAGAAGTTACACTGATTAAGGACGAAGAAGTTACTCTGACTGAGCGCAAAGAAGTTACTCTGACTGAGGGCAAAGAAATTACACTGATTGAGGACAAAGAATTTGCACTGAGATCCAAGGACTAAACTTACATATTTACTTCTGGTAAACAATAATTAAATACCAACGACAAAGAGTGTTCAAACTGTATCGCTAGTTCCACCGGTATCGCTAGTTGCACCGGTATCGCTAGTTCCACCGGTATCGCTAGTTCCACCCGTATCGCTAGTTGCACCGGTATCGCTAGTTGCACCAGTATCACTAGTTCCGCCCGTATCGCTAGTTTAACCGGTATCGCTAGTTCCGCCCGTATCGCTAATTGCACCAGTATGGCTAGCTCCACCCGTATCGCTAGTTGCACCGGTATCGCTAGTTGACCAGTATCGCTAATTCCACCCGTATCGCTAGTTGCACCGGTATCGCTAATTCCACCCGTATCGCTAGTTGCACCAGTATCGCTAGTTCCGCCCGCATCGCTAGTTGCACCGGTATCGCTAGTTGCACCAGTATCGCTAGGTCCGCCCGTATCGCTAGTTGCATCGGTATCGCTAGTTTCGTCCGTATCGCTAGTTGCACCGTACAAACTACAAAGACCCCAACGACCGATCCCCAGTTAGAAAGAGTAGGGTCAACAGCCACGTGGTAGCGCGTGTCCTACGTCCTTGACCTTACGTGAAGAAAGATTTAAACCAACACGACTTTTAACTCCCTCCAACACGTGGATCTCGATTGCTGATAGCGCCTGGAGCTTCACTTTAAGAGTTTAGAACGTCCCTCTTGGCGGAGCTTCATCACGAGAAAAACAAAAACAATTGAGAATGTGTCCGGTACCTTAGCGCAGCTTCGCACAAGCGATCCATCTTTGACCATTAGAGAAGGCATTTTAGATCTATAAGGTACGATTCAACGACTCGTCTGTTTTTATAAATGATAATTAAAGGGTCCTTAAAGAAATCTGAGGTTCACTCAATTATTTCCCCTCTCCGTTCTGCTGGCTACAAGATAAGCCAAGGGACACGACCCAAAAACAAGAAGCCACGCGCTAAAACAGTCCGTGGGGAGGGGTTTGGGTGGGGGGGGGGGGGTAGAAAACATGTTGCTGTTATTTGATGTTTTTTTAAAGTTGAAATTTGCATAAAAGTTTGGGGTTCGAGTTTATAACAGAGGAATGGCATGAG